CAGCGTGCAACTCTGCCACTGATCCAAGTGCAACAGCTGGGCAATGTCAGATCACTTAGAATTTGTCTTCCTCTTCGTCCCCCAGGAAGCACCAAAACAACCCTCCTTTCAGATAAGACGATTTTACACAGCTTTTGAAATAAGTGGCTGGGCATGCAGCCAACAGAGATCTGGGAGAAGTGTGGCCTGGGCAGGAGAGCTGGGAGACTCGACAGGACGGGGAAAGGATCCCCAGGAGGACATGAAAGTCGTGGTTTCAGGTGGCAGTTTCTAACTTGTCTCCACCTCGTTCATAAGACACCACAGAGTAAAGTCAGATTCCCCCTCAGATCTCAAAGGGTAAAGTCAGACCTCAGAGAGCATGGGGGGCAAAAGGTACTGAACAGCGGCCACTGGCTTACGCTTGTTAACCCTGAATCCATGAGACGCTTTCCAACATCCAAAAATTGGAGGAGTTTTCTACTTCCTAAACACAGCTTCTTTATTGATTTCCTTCCAGCTCTCATAAACATGTCAAGCAACAGACCTAGGGAGGCTGGCCCTACTGCAAGCCAGGCAGAACTGCACACACACACACATGCACACGTGCATGCACACACACACATATACCTGAAGGTACTCTGGCTCGAGGGCGCTCTGCCTCCAAACTGCCTTTCCCTCCCTCCAAGTTTGTCTCCAGTCTTTAAACAGTTTTCCTTAATGATTCCAATACATGAAAAAACTGTAAATGATTCTGCAGATGGGACATCAGATTGATTAATAAGTATGGGAAGAGACAGCTACTCAACCTCAGTAAGAACTGGAGATCTGCAAAAGCAAGCAATGAGATACCCAACCATACCCATCTGATTGAAAAACATTAGAAAGTCAGATAATACTAAGTGTCAGATATGATGGGAGGATCTGAGAACCCCCAGATACTGCAGGTGGGAGGGTAAACTGGTACATACTCAAGGAAACCGTGTAAGAGTACCCCTGGGACCCAGGAATCCCACTCCTAGGGGTCCACCCCAGACTCTCTCATACAGGTCCTCAGGAAGACACACCTAAGGATGTAGCAAGGAGCTGAGTGCACAGACAGGGAGAAAGAAAATGAATAAATGTCCATTGAGAGGAAATTCAGACAATGTAGAAATATATCATAAACAATAAATAAATACATAATGAAGAATCTCCCACAGTCACACATGTACACACGCATACAAAAAAGTCTTTGCACATCCATATATATATATATTATTTATTTATTTAATGAGCTCATACTACACATGCTGTTTTGTAACCTGTTTCACTCAACCAGCATATAGTGAGTATTATATTAGCATCATCATTTTTCACAGCTGCACAGTATTTCACTGTAAGCACTACCATAATTTAGTTAACCAATGCTCAATTGTTAGATACCTAGGTTACTTAAATCTCTTCACTGTTAAACAGAACTGCTCTGGACTTCATTGGCCATGCATCTTTGCTTCCTCTCCTAAGTAATAAAATTAGAAGCAAAGAATAGGTATTGCAGTAAAAACTGTGCGTACCTTAGAAATGGGACTGCTTGGTTAAAGGTATATATCTTTCTTACCACGATACACATTCTTTGCTTCTAATTGTAACAGTTTCCTTGGATCCACATTCTTTCTGTTGTCTGGCAAAGCGACTCCTTCAGGGAAAACAGACACACGGGTTATGTATAAGCAATAATACTTACTACACTCTTCCTCCTTTACCTCCCTCCCTTCTCTGTATCCATCGTTAAGGAAATGGCGGCCACTGTCCAAATAAGTCCCGATCTCACAGGTTCCCAGCATCAGCCATGCAGCTCATCACAGAGGACATTTTGAGACGCATCAGCAAAGCATCAGCAAAGCAAAATACTTAGGGGTTCATTCATTTGCTAAAAATACCTTTATCAGATGCCAGCCTGTGCTTGTAGCCACAGCAGGCATTAGAGAGGCACAAACGATTAAGGGCCAGTCCTGCTCTTAGGAGCCCTCCGCCCAGTAAGTTCAGCGACACTCTTGACTCCAAGTAGAAAATCCCAAACTCACATGTGCTCTGGAAGGGGGCCTTGCTGGGAGGCTTCTCAGAGGAGGTGACACACAGGCAGGCAAACAGCAATGAGCTGGCCACGTAGTCTTGGTGGTGGAGGGGACCCCAAGCAGAGGGTCAGAGGCACATGCCGGGCTAAGGCCACCAGATGCCGCTGGAGAACACCTGAAGGTCCAGCAGGGCGGGAGCAGTGGGCACAGCTGAGATGGGGGCTTGAGAGGGAGGCGGGGCCCTGGTTAGACACAGCCAGCTTGCCAGCACACTGAGAAGCCTGCGCACGGGGGGATGAGTGGGCAGAAGAAGGGTGAAACCAGACGAGGGAGGATGGATGGGAGTGGGGACAAGGCTGGCTGCAGGAACGCCAGCCTGAAGGGCACTGCTGTGACTCCGGACACGAGGGAGGGAGGTGAGTCAGGCAGAAGGGCTGGCAGGTGGGGAAGCTCCCGTGGAGGAAGGGGTATGGCCCAGATAAGACAGTCTCAGGGAGACTTGAGAGGCAGAATAGCCAGGATGTGGTGACTGCATGCTAAGGGGCTAGGAGGGGAAGCAGGTAAGGAAGACGCCCAGTCAGGGCAGCAGGCCTTCAGGAAGCCCGATGAAGCGAGCGTGCAGCGGCCTGTGGAAAGGTCACAGTACAGACCACAGACTTGTAGTGTTCTAGAGTCTACCGGATGACTTACTCCCCGCCCTGGGATGCAACTTTCTCCTCTGCAAAGGAGCACATGGGACCTGTGTACCATCAAGGCCCTTCCCAGCTGTAAAATGCTGTAAGTTCCTATCCACATCAGAACTGGGGTGTCAGCTGAACCCCTGGAAACTCTCCCCAACAAGAAGGCCTTCCTGGAAAGAGAAGGCACATCCATAAGGAGCCTCTCCTGTGAAGTCGGAACCTTCCTCCAACGCCCAGCTCACAGGCCAGCAAGGACCCATCCCTTCCAGCCCTGAGTACCGGCTCTCCTGCTCAAACACGTGCCCTCACATCTGGCCCCATGCTGCTTGCTTTTCGGCCCCGCTCCTGGGTAATACGGAGCAGACTGGCAAAATACTTCAAATACCGTCTTAAGAAGTGCACCGCCTTGTGGGCTGAGCGGCCTATTTTGAGCAAAATGTTTCAAACCTCCAGGCTCAGAGCTGCTCTAGGCACCAACGTTCAACGCAACTGAACAATCAGGAAGGCAGTAAAGGACTACGGCGCATCTGCTGAAGGCCAGGCCGTCCCTGGGCACGGGGACTGGACATGCCCACCGTCCAGGACTGTCTGCTGTGTGGGGGAGCCACCAGCCTGGCGTGAGAAGGGCCGTACGGAGGATGCACAAGGCTAGGGCTGGGGGAGGCCAGAAAAGGAAGCAACAGCCTGGCTCGGATGTCCAGGAACACTACCCAGAGGACGGAGCGTGGGAGCTGGGCCCCGGTGGCTGCATGCAGTCATGGCAGGTGTGCAGTGGCAACTGGCCCAGGAGTGGACGAGCACAAGCCAGCCGCAGGGAGTGTCAGGAGAGAAGCGACAGGAGGTTCAGAAGGGCTGGCTGATGGCCACAAGGTGCACTGGAGCTAGTCTGTAAGGGTCTGAATGCCACATCCAGGTAGTGGCTACAGGGAGCCACTGAAGTTTGCAAGCAGACGATAAAGGGCAGCGGGAAGGATGGGGTACAGAGAGGGGCAATTCAACGTCTGCTGCACATCAGGGGATCAGCACAGTGGAAAACAATGTAGCCGGAGCCAGGGCAGGGGATGGGGCGAGGGGATGTGGGCCCACAGTTCCCCCTTCTCCATTTTCTCAGGACCACTACCATTTAATCCTATGGCCCCACAAAGAAACACCTTGACTCAAAGTCACACGGCAACCAATAGCAAACCTCAAGGGAGAGCTCCCAACCCGGCCTTTCCAGATCTGGTTTCTGCTCCTGCTCTGAAAAAGCTCACAAGCCCCTGGCCCCAAACCTCCAACAGCTGATCAAACACCCAAGCACACTGTATACACTTGGAAGGGGAAGGCACAGGCTGTGAATAACTGACACACACATGCCCAGATTTCCCAGAGGCCCGCCTGAGTAACAGGACACATTTGGTTCATTTCCCGCAAAACCAGAATTTCCCAGGCATTAGGGGGAAATGCAACCCTCCCTGCATCCCCTGTAGCCCTCTCCATCCCCCTGCTCCAGAGACCCCGGCCATCCTTTCTAATTTCCCACTTTCTCCCTGAACTTGAGCAACCTACAAAAAGCCTCTCCAAGATCCCTCATGCCCCTGCACATCTTCATTGCGGCAGTTCATTCAGGCAGGGTGGTAGGCAGAAAGTCACTGAGGCCACCAAGGATGGCCAAACACCCTAAAGCCCAGCTCCAATCCCTGGCGCAATGCGCGCCTCCCACAGGTATCCCCACAGGCTAGACACTGCTTCTTTTGGTAGCAGAACGGATGAAAAGAAAAAACAGCAGGTGGTGCCTGAGAAGCCCTCAGAGGGAACAGAGGGAGGCTCAGCAAGGTGGGTAAGGTTCAAATCCTACTTCCACCACTGAGCCTACTTGAATAAGCCACCTTGCCTCTCCGGAAAATTTTTCCTCATCTATGAAATAGGTATAAAAATAAATTCCGTGTAAGGGTGTCATAATTCGGAACGCGATGGAGAGTGTTAAGCATTAGTGGAGAGTGAAAAGGAATTCAATATTTTTTATATATTTATTGATATATATAGATACATATCATAGCTATAGCTACAGCTATAGCTATAGATAGAGATATCGTTCGAAGGGGAGAAAATTCCTAAAGTGTGTATCAGGGAAAACCAGCCGAGTGCAACCCTGTGGAGCAGGGCCGGGAGTCCCGGGCTAGCGGGAGCGCACCCAGGCGCCGGGGCCGGAGCATCGGTGCGCGCAGGTGCGGCGGGCGCGCAGTGACAGCAGGTTGGCGGTGCAAGTTGGGCCGCGGGGGCTGCAAAGGGGCGGCGGACCCACCTGAAGACGCGCAGCAGCAGGCAGGCTATGAGGAAGGCGGAGAAGGCGCACGCCACGATCACGGCCGCCTTCAGGGTGGGCAGGTCGCGGAGCAGGCTGGAGATGCGGGTCACCAGGGCGTCACCGCTGCTGTTGGAGCTGCCGCCGCCGCCGCCCGCCGCCTCCCCGGAGCCCATCCCGGTGGCGTTCCCGGGCCCAGGGCCGGGCGGTGGCCGCGGCTGGCGCTCGGATCCGGACTGCGGCGGGGCGGCGGACTCGGCTCTGCTGGCGCGGGCGGCGGGCGCGGCCAGGAGCGCGAGCAGCACCAGCAGCGGCAGAAGCCGCGCGGCCGGCGGCGCGGCGCGCATGGTGCGGTCCGGCGGCCCGGGGTCGGGCTGGGCGAGCGCGACGGAGCCCTGGGTCCCGCACCGGCGACGAGGCCTTCACCGGCTACTCCCGCGGCGGAGCCAGGCGGCTGCGCGGTCCTTGGCAGGAAGCTGCGGCGCCCGGAAGAGTCCGAGCCGCCCGCCGCCGCCGCGGCAGCCGCCACCAACACGTTGCACGGAGTCATTCGACGGGCCGCAGCCCCACGTGGGCGGGGCAGGCCACCAGGCCCGGTGCGGGCTGCGCTGCTCTCCGGGCGGCCCCAGTTCCCTCGGGACCTGGCACCCCCTTGGAGAAGTAACAATAGCCAGGCGCTGTGCTGCACATTTCACATTTTCTCTATTTCATTTAATCCTGCAACCCCCTTAGGAGACAGGTATTTCTGTTACCCTCCTTTAATAGTTGATTCAAGACCCAGAGAGCCTGCTCATAGCAACCCAGGTTGTGTCAGACTGAGAATCGAAAGACCATGGCACCCGGGGCAAGCCTCCATTCTACAGATGCGGAAACTGAAGCCTCCAGAGTGAAATGGGCTGTCCGATGCCCTATGCAGTGCATATAGTTCAACATCTCCCCAGTTAACTTCTTTTTCTCTGAAAGAGTTTCTTATCTCATGGCTTCGATCTTTCAGACATTGTGCACCTCTGCTTACGGACTGGATTAGGATGTGCATTTCTGCATTCATACCTTTGCTGTGGAATAGTCTTCCTCCCAGGTTGAAGTTTCAGACCCCAGGGAGTAATTGGCTTGCTGCCTCTGGTTTGTAAGCTAAATGATACTTAAGTGGAGAAAGACAGTTATGGATGTTCTAGTGTGAGACCCAAAGTCGGGAACTGATGCAGGGCACAGAGGGCTTTCCTGGATCACTAGGAACTATACTGCAGGCCTCAGGTTCCACCTTTCAGCATGAGGATGGATCCTGGCAGGAAGCTCTCCAGTAACAGGTAAACACACATGACAAGTACTCAGTGACCTTAAACAGCTCACTCCTGGTCCTACTAAAAAGAGCAACAGATAAATAAAATATAGTACAGTGTAGTAGTTAGCTATTGCTTCCTAACAAATTATCCCCAAACTTCACAGCTTAAAACACACACATATATTATAGCAGAGTTTCTGTGTTTAGGAATCTGAGCATAGCTTAGCAGGGTCCTCTGCTTCAGGGTCTCTCACAAAGGTGTCAGCTGGGGCTGGGGTCTCATCTGATGGCTCAACTGGGGAAGGATCTGCTTCCAACTTCAATCACTGGTTGTTGGCCAGATTCAGCTGTTCATGGGCTATAGAACTGAAAGCCTCAGTTCCCCACTGGCTGTTGGCCAGAGGCTGCCCACCGTTCCTTACCATGTGGGCCTTTCCAACATGGCAGCTTGCCTCACCGAAATGTGCAAGTCTAGAAGACAATAGAAAGACCCTGTTAGCAAGACAGAAGTCACTGTCTTAGGAAACCTGACCACAGAAGTGACATCCCAACACCTTTGCTATATTCTGTTGGTTAGAAGCAAGTTACAGATCTTATCACAAGGGAAGGGAAGTGTACAAGGGTGTGAATATCAGGAAGCAGGGATTATTGGGGCATCTAAAGAGCTGCCTGCCACTTATAATGTGACACATGTTGATTTAGTGGGATGAACAATAATCAGGTTATCAGAAGTCATCGCCCAGGAGGTACTATTTGAAATGCACGTTGAATAGTCCAGCATGCCCCAGTGGTGAGAAATTTAGACAGATCACATGCTTTAGGTCTCTTCCAACTCTAAAATACCACTTTATGGTATGTCAAAAATGTGTTGGTAGAGAGCCAGCATTTTATCATATCATCATGATAGAATTTAGAAAAGAAATTTCTTAAAGAACCACTGGCGACGTCCATGATTTTGCAGCACTGACCTCTAAGGCATAAACCTCAGACATCACAGGCTTATTTTTTTTTTTTTTTTTTTTGGTACGCGGGCCTCTCACTGTTGTGGCCTCTCCCGTTGCGGAGCACAGGCTCCAGGCGCGCAGGCTCAGCGGCCATGGCTCACGGGCACAGCCGCTCCACAGCATATGGGATCTTCCCGGACTGGGGCACGAACCCGTGTCCCCTGCATCGGCAGGCGGACTCTCAACCACTGCGCCACCAGGGAAGCCCACAGGCTTATATTTTTATCCTTATCAAAAATTCCTGCATGGTAGAGTAAAGAAGGCCTGGGCCTTGGAGCCTCTAGCCAGGATGAGAGGTCTGACCGCTGAGTGGCCTTGGCCAAAGACTTAACCACAGAATTCAAATCTTTAATGTCTAAAGTGAGGATAATAATACTTAGCTCAGGAAGGTCGCTGGAAGCATGCCTAAGAAGGGAGAAAACATTAGTGCCCTTATCCTTCTTTTGCCACAATTCATGGACTGGAGTAGACTTGCTTGGTTGTTTAAAATTGACTTAACACCAAGAATGTACATAAATGTTAGATTATTTTAGTAAAGTGAAACTGTAGAATCTTTCCTTCTTCCTGATTATTTGCTGTGCAAACCATCACAACAAAGAACTTACTTATAAATTGCCCTAAATTAGAGTTCCTTAAACGTTTTGAATCAACCAACCATAAACAATGACATTTTAACATGGAACACTGCTGACAGGCAACAGAAACCAACTGGGGCTGATTTCAGGAAAAGGGAGTTTATCGAAGCATGTTGGGTTGCTTCTAGAATCAACCATAAGCTAAAGCAGAAGTTCTAAAAGTGTGGTCTGGGGACTCCTGGGGTCCCTGAGACCCTTCCAGGGAACCTGCAAAGCCAAAACTAATTCCATAATAGCATTAAGATGTTATTTGTCTTTTTCACTGATGGTGCAAAAGAAATCGTGCTGAAAACTGATGGTGCCTTAGCATGAATCAAGACAAACTATACTCATAGGCATTGTATTCTTCATGACCATGCGCAACAGAAAAAAAAATAAAAAGAGCCAGTTTCACTTTATAGTGTCTTCGACAGAGCCATGAAATGATTAAATCTTGACCCTTGAGAACAGAACATTTTACTGTTAGATGTGGTAAAATAAGAAGTATGCATAAGTCTCATCTGCTGCACTCTGAGCCATGATGAGTGTCTCAAGAAAAAAACACGTGCGATTCTTAAAGTTGCAAACTGGACTAGCCACTTTTTTCATGGAACACCATAGTTAATCAAAAGAGTGCCTGCCAAACTTCAGACCTGGTCTTTGGCAGGCATTTTCTCAAAAATGCACAAGAATGAGCCGGTCACTTTAAGGATGGCAACTGACAGTATGGTAGCCAATGATAAAATTCAAACCTTCAGACTAAAATCTGAATTTTTAGAAAATTTATCCATTAGGAGGCTTTCTGCTGTGAGCTGGACGCTTCCCAATACTTCAAGACTTCTCTGATGAGCTTGGTGGTGATACTAAAAAGTGTGGCGTTTTTGATATTATATAATGGAATATGTCAAATTTTGAAAGATCTGCTTAAATCAGCAAGCCAATTTTTCTGCATGGCCAATGTTACAAAATCATGCTTGGGTAAAAGGTCCATTCAAAGTGCAAGGTAGACCAATGGATTTTGATGAAGTGGAGTATAAAAGTTCATTGGGGCTTCCCTGGTGGCACAGTGGTTGGGAGTCCTCCTGCTGATGCAGGGGACGCGGGTTCGTGCCCCGGTCCGGGAAGATCCCACATGCCGCGGAGCGGCTGGGCCCGTGAGCCATGGCCGCTGAGCCTGTGCTTCCGGAGCCTGTGCTCCGCAACGGGAGGGGCCACAACAGTGAGAGGCCCGCTTACCGCAAAAAAAAAAAAAAAAGTTAATTGATATGGTTCCAGATTTCACAGTGTAATCTTTAAGAAACTACTGCTCGCAAATTTTGGTGTGAAATTAAAGAAGTATATCCACACTATCTGAAAAGGCTATTAAAATTCTTCTTTTTCCAACTACATATCTAGGTGAGGCTGGATTTTCTTCATATTTTTCAGCCCAAACAACAAATCGCAACAGAGTGAATGCAAAAGTGTATATGAGAATCCAGCTATTTTCTTTTTTTTTGATAGAAATTTATTTTATTATTAAAATATAGTTGATTTACAATGTTGTGTTCGTTTCAGGTGTACTGCACAGTGATTCCGGTTTTTTGCAGATTATATTCCATTATAGTTTATTACAAGATATTGGGTATAATTACCGGTGCTATACAGTAAATCCTTGTTGCTTATCTATTTTATGTATAGTAAATAGTTTGTATCTGTTAATCCCATATTCATAATTTGTCCTTGCCCCCTTCCCTTTCCCCTGTGGTAAACATAAGCTTGTTTTCAATATCTGTGAATCCATTTATGTTTTGAATATGGATTCATTTGTATTAGTTTTTCCAGCTATTTTCCATTAAATCAGACCATAAAGAGGTTTACCAAAAAATGTTGAAACAATGCCACTCTTCTATTTTTTTAGAAAATATAGTTATTTTCATAACAGTGTATCGATGTTAAAATATTAATGTATTTATTACCCTGTTTCTAATTGAATTAATATTTTAAGGTGTTTTCATTTTAAATCTCTAATGCAGTAAAGATCAGTAGGTATAACCCACGTAACAAAACCTCTTTGAGGTCCTTCATTTTTCTTAAGACTGGAAATCAAAAAGAGACCAAAAGTTCCTGAGACCAAAAGATTGTTTGAGAGATGATGAGCTTAGATAATCAGGCTTGGGTGGAAAAAAGAAGCAAATCAATTAGAATATTTTCTGCTATGAGAAACAGAAAAACCCAACTTGAACTGAATTAAACAAAAAGGAAATCTCTTCTCATATAAAGGAAGACCCAGGTGGTTGATTCAGCAGTTACATGATGTCTAGGACCCTGGATTTTTCCATCTTTCTGCTCTGTTGCCCACAGCACTGGCTTCAACCTTAGGACGGTTGCAGTGATTGCTGGTCACAAGAACACTGCAGTGACAACTGGGGTAACCTGCCTTCTAGTTCATACACATCAAGTGAGAAGGAAAAACCCTTCTTCCAATCGTGGAATAGAAACCCTCCTCTTGGACGTCCCTGGTGGCGCAATAGTTAAGAATCCTCCTACCAATGCAGGGGACCCGGATTCGATCCCTGGTCTGGGAAGATCCCCCATGCTG